TATATATATATATAATATTTATATAAAGAGCCAGTTTCATCAACTCGATTAAGCCGAATCGATGATTAACTGTCAACCATAAGTGGTCAATTCTATTAAACAGCAAACACAAACACAATTAGTCAGTTCCACAATCAATTAAGTAATTGGCGTTGGTGAAATCGGCCCAAATGATTCTTCACGAAAAGCACGCATGCTTAGCGCTTTTTTTACTTTTCTTAAAAAGATAAGTTTGTATAAATAATAAGAAACAGTATCATTTGTGTTTTAATTTGATAGAACTTAACTGGATTAGTTAAGATTAGTTAAGGATTAATTAAGATTGTGTATCTGGGTTTTAATTTTTCATTAGATACATTCATTTTTTTCGAAGAATAATAATTTGACCGAGAATTAAAGTTACTTGGGTTGGAATGAGAAGACCTTCAATATGTCTTTTTAACAAAATCCGACAAGTCGCTTTTTATAGGCACATAATGGTCGCGTTCAGCAGATTCAACTGTTGCGGAGCAGATCCGTGAGCGCTCGCTGCTATTGGTGATTAGAAGAGTACACCAATAGCTGCGAGCACTCACTCCGCAACAGTTGAGTTTGCTGAACGTGACCAACTTTCAACATATATATGTTTTTGTCCAACGCGACTGTGACGTTCCCTTTATCTGCTCGCGTAAATATAATGTTCGGATGTGAAATCATAAATTCTTTAGTGTCTTTTTCCAATCTAAATTTACTGTCGTTCTGGGTTGTGAAAATATAGATATTGACCAATTGTTTAAAATCGGTATAGAGTGATTGGTGATTTCTATTCTTTTATTTCGAAAATTTACGTATGTTATGTTCAATGTTCTTAATGCATTCTATTAATATTCTGCCTTTATTTTTGTTAGGAAGTGCGAAATTATCTCCTAATTGTAAAAAACACTGAATATTATGTAGAATCATAACAGAAGATAGATTTAAAAACCATTTATTTCTAATAACAGAGAACGGTGGTAGTATATGATTGGTAATACATGGTGGTAAAAATTTATTAAAGTTCAAAAAAATCCGTGCCCAAAATTCAATAAAAATAATGTAGTATATAAAATTAATTGTGGAGATTGTAATGCGTCTTATATTCATCAAACAGGAAGACAACTTAGACGAGAATTGAATAACCATATAAATTGGAAAACTTCCAATCATTCGGTAATAACCGAACATAGATTACAATTCAAACATGATTTGATTGGAATAACATTTTAATTATAGATGAAGAACAGTGCTACAGTAAATGTATAATTTCTGAAATGATTAATATTAAAAAATAGTTTAAATCTATAGTTTATATCTGATATAAGTCTTCATAAATTGTATTTATTAATAATAAATAGTATATGACTTTACATCACCAGTTATTGTCTTAATTTTGCGAATCTTTGTTTAGTCGTCTCTTGTAATGTTGACATGTTAGTTTGATCATTTCGTTTGTTAATTATGCGATTGATTCTTTTTAAGAATGTTATTGGCCATCACATGTTTTTAACATTATCATTTGTGACTTCTCCGATGAGTTTTATTTTGATTGATGTTTATATAAATAATGTATTGTTCTCAATTTTTTCATATTACTCATAGATTCATGGAAATTTTAACATTCAGTCGAATAGCTTGGGAACAATTTCTGTCGGTCAACGTATAATCCATCGGAGATGATTAACTTACCTTTTTTATTTTTACTTGGTTTTTGTCGGTTATTTATTGGTTTGACTTTACTGCGGGTTGCGATTGCGATTATAATAAATCTGAAGATAGTCAAGATCAAGAAGCCAAAACAATCGAGATATTTTATTGTTGTAAGACATTTTATATGTTATACCATCAAATATTTTTAGAATAATCGAGAATAAGTATTAGTATATTATGTTTATTAAAGTTTTACTGTTTTTGATTCTTACATGTCCTTTATTTAGTTTTATTTTTGATAACAAATTTTTTTTCTGATAACAAGAATCTTTAATTTGTTTCATCTTAAATATAATGATTTGTGATTAAATATAATATTCTTTTTAAATGTTTTAATTAACAAAATCAGATAAACTAAAATCTTAGCTCTTTACAATAATAATTAAACGTAAAATATGTAATCATTAACACAGAATGAAAACATTGATAAAGATAGATTTCATTTAAGCAGTTGAGTTTAATAAAATTACTTATTGCGATGTTGCGAACAAGCCTATATCGGTGTTGGTTGAAATATAAAATCTTGAATTAATGATTGTCATTCTTGAAAAAATCTTAAATTACGTTAACAAAGCAGCTGTATATTAGCAAATGTTGTATTACTTGGCAATGTCGCAACTCAATTATATTACGTTATATGTATTATTATTATTATTTGACAACGTTGCATTTGTATCATATTATTCATTGTCATACATTACATTATTCATTGTCATTGTGAAACATGTTAAATGTCCTTGAAATAAGTTTCTTATATTACGCTAACAAAGTCGCCTAATTTGAAAATTTGCTGACACTGTAATTTGCAGTGTTGGATTATATTAATGTCATCACTGGATCTAAAAATCTTTTGTTATAAAATCTGACGTTTATATTTTTGATATCATTGACCAGAAATAGTCATATAAATACCCGGAGGATTTTTGCAGAAAGTCAGTCTGTGTAAAATGATTGACCGCTCTTGCATTTAATTAGCAATCAGGAACTTGGTTTCCACAATGTGCTATCTGGCACTAATACTTCTTGCTTGATGTGTGATGGGCATAAGTTATATTGAGAAAAGTAGCGATTGTGTAGTATCAGAGATTTTTACGAGATTTAATACTGCATCGCTCAGATTTGTTCTGCAGTGATCTCCAATGCTATGGATTCATACGTTCAACATGAGTCGAGCAAGTAAGTATTTCAATTATATTTGTTTGTTTGAAAAATTTTTTTCTATATATTGCTTATTTGTTTGTTTTTTTTTTATTACAGTGCGTCTTCTCATACAATTTTGAGAAGAATATTCGCATTGACATCGACAGCGTATATAAATTTCTAGAGATCACCGTGAGACCTATTTCCTACGTGGAAGTAGCTATTGGCGACACCCGAGGCAATCGCATCGTCCTGCCTCATGTTCATCAAAAAACTGACGATGATGGAATATCGAGCAGTAGTGCGACTATTCCATCATCGTTAATGATTCAGAAGTTTCAATTGAACTTGTTAAATTACGTGATGTGAAATTAAATGATAAGTGCTTATATATGAAATCATCGATCATGCTCTTCATGCTCGAACTTGAACAATGTGTAGAACACGTATATTATAAACTATGTCAATACGACACGAATGATGTGAGTGAAAGTTAAATATTTCGTCAAAACTGTTTAACTTATTTACGTCAAAACTGTATAAATAACAAATATTATATGATGCTACCTACATAGCCAAATAAGGACAATATTTTGCTGTTACTTATTCTGCATTTAATTTCATCAAATTAAAGCCAAGGTGTTTCCATAAACTGTCTGTTGTTCTAATATCATGTAGTCTTCCTTAGAATTCTGCTGGCAAGTTGTCATCATGCGTGCATGGCGGGCTCAACGTGACGAGTTTATTTCTCAATGTATACTTACAATTTCGTAAAGTCATGAAATCTATTTGCCCTCCTGATGTTAATTCAATTCACATTAGATTCCAATGATAGCAAATTGTCGACAAGTTGAAAATGTTACATGCAGTGCATCAATTTGTTCCATTTGCTAAATCTCGCTTGGCTCTGGGTATAAATATTTTGCGTAAAATTTATGATAAGAATTCATATATTGAATGCAAATTGATAGTGTACGCTGTAAACCATAACATACGCTGTAGACAATAACATTGTATATAATGCATTACATGAAAACTAAATAAAAATAAAAATATCTCAGTGTTCGCAATTGTTCCTTCCCTCTTTCCATCCTTCTTTCCACCTTATCTCTGCGATATCGCATTACGTGCCGCAAATCGCGCTTATTGTATAGCGCGTTTGCACTCTTCGAATTGTTAAAATAAAATAAAATAAAATATAACATAATAAATAAATAAAATATAACGTGCGGTAGGGATTGCGCCTTGTGGTGGTGGTGGTGGCGGAAACCAGCGGCGGACCGTGTCCGGAGACGGACCGCGTCCGGAGGTGGACCGCGCCCGAAGACGAGGACGGCGGAGGCGGATCACGCCCGGCACTGACCCCGCGTGACATCATCACCGCGACGCGGATATAATTTTCCGCGCTACGTAATTTCCCCGCACACTCCCATGACGTCACTCCTTCGCCTAGCGATGTCACCTCCTGTGACATCATCCACTTCCCCCCTCCTTCTGTGATGTCACTCCCTTGCCTAGTGGTTTTTTTATTATTAATCTTGAGAATAACTTGCGAACATCTAGCTTTGGTTCATAACCTTTATTTCTTTTTAATTATATATTTAAAAGAAGAGCCTTTCAACTCGTGTACATGAAATTTCGTGCAGATACGCAAGTTGATAGGTTGTTTTAAAAAATTGATTTTTTCTAAAATTAATTTTACTGTTGTTCGTTTTCCTTCAGATGATCAACTGTATATCTTTTGTCTGAAACATTTCATTAAATGGAATAGAAAATATTTAGGTTGGGACATTAAAACGAATAAGCAGTATATAAATATCAAAGATTTTCATTATTTATTATAATATGACAACAATATTATAATATGACAACGGTGTACAATTTTTTAAATATCTTCTTACAAAATTATGTCTTTTTATATTTGACGAATAATACAATTGTAAAATCAACAGCTGTGTATAAAGATTCCGAAAAAGTTTTTAACAACAAATTGTTGCTGGAAAACACTGTTAGCATGAGAAACATACTCTTGAATTTGATCTTAATTACATAAGCAAATTATCAAATCTTATTTTTTAGATAATGTTAAATGAGATATATGTTAATTAATATATGATTTCTTAAGAAATATGTACATCATTTTTTGTAACAAAAAAAAAATGTTATTTTGTAATTTACAAGAAAAGGCTCCCAGGTCTCTTTTCAATTTTAGTAAAACTTGATAGGAATAGTAGATTTGTAGAAGGTATAAAGATATTCAATATATATTTTTTATCAGTAGTCAAATATGTTTGAGGAAATCAGTTCGATCAATATTTTGATAAATATTTTGATTTTCGTTTAACTTCTAAACAAAAGTATGATAGCATAATTTTCTCCACATTCCGTGTTGTCCGTTAGACTTCTGCTACTCGTATGCATTTTCGAGAGTATCTGAATATAGAAAGAGAATACAGTATGTTTCTCTTTCTATAGAAAGAGAAACATGAAGTGTTAAATAAGGAAAGATTCAGTTCCAATTTATCAGTTCCAGTTTACCGATTTCACGACGCGAAGCAGGTATTCATAGTCGATTTTTACACTTAAAGCTGTCTTAAATACAGTCTTAAGATGTCATAAGTCAATCTGAGGACTGTATTAGTATCTTAAGACAATTTTAATTATTTATTTAAGATTCATTATTTAAGACAATTTTAAAATAAAAACGGACTAAAAACTATGAATATTGCCTCATGTTTGGCGTTTCACAGTTTGACAGCTTTAATTTCTTATCGACATAACATAAATAGAAACGGCGGAAATTCAAAGAGAGATGTTTGCAAATTGCACACACCATGTTATCTCTTTCATCATACTTCCACCATGAATAGATGGAATAGATGGAAAGATGAACATAGAATCCCATACCGTTTAGCGATATTTGTAATAATAATTGAGATATTTTATTATCGATTAATTTTTGTGTTTGTACTAATAAGAGCACATCAAGAGAAATACTTGAGTGGTGAGAGAAATCTCGCGGGACATCCTATAAAAAACCTCTAATATTTAATATGAAGAAAGAAACATTATTACCTCTTTTGATATGTTGTTATAATTCAATTATCTCTTCAAACGTTGACCTCATGACAACTGAATTGCATTCAGTCAAGATATAAAGAATCAGGTAAGAATGGTATAAATGGAAAATCGCATTTATCATGAGACAACGCTAAATTTACTGCCGAACGAATGTCTTCCTCAATTTGAGCCACTTCCAATTGTATCAAATTTTCTCCAATATTAATATTCTGTGACAATAAAAAAATTCATAAAATTTGATAAGTATATGATATCCCGAATTTAAATAGCCAAACTTCGAGAATTTGTAGGGATCTATAAACTAAGAAAAAAAATTCTTTAGAAATATGCTCGTTTTGTGCTTTGTTTTGGAAAAAATCGCAAAAAAAGACGTACGTCCATTTTTGTACTTTTTATTTATTATTTATTCATTTGTATTTATTTATTCACGTTGCATTTATTTGTTCACTTGCTTAATGCAAATATTGTTCAAAATGTAGGTCTTTTACAGCAATGTATGCATTGCATCTTGTACGAACAGTTCGTGTTGCAGCCAAACACTGATCTGCTCAATGTAATGGCTCGCTGACTCTCTCCTATCTGGAAATCGGTGCACATACCTTCGCACTATCTCTAAAACATTATCGCTGAAGTCGTACAGGAAAAACAATAATATTCTAAAAATTAGTTTTGTCTCTTTTGGCAATTTGCCAACCAATAACGAACATATCTTTAAAAGACTTTTTGTTCTTATAGCAAATTTGGTTGGATGCACTAGTGCATCCGTTAATACAGTTGTACACTGATTTAACTTGCGTAAAAGTAAAATGCAAATATTTTAATTATAAAATACAGATTTTATTTAACAGCACAATAAAATATATTGAGGATTTCATAATTTAATCCGTTTTTATATTAAACACACATTTTTACTTCAATTTGTATACGACGGCTTTAATGTGCACCGCTTTAATGTACGCATTGAGTACATCCAATCGAATTCGCTATTAGTTTATCGATTTCCTACACGTTCCCGAAGTTTAGCCATTTAAGTTCAGGATACCTATAGAGTACATATTCTAATGACAAGTTTTCCTCTTAAAGAATTGAAGATTATCTCGATACAATTTTTAAATAAAATATTCTTTTATGTGACACTACAATTTCCTGAGATATACAATATATTTTTAAATTTATATACTTAATATTAATATAAAATAAAAGTTAATATGGAAAATTCAATAGTGCGCGTGAAGTGCTTATTATATTCTCGTATAATTAAAAATTAATTCCACATATACATATGTCCGTATTTATAATCACATCTTATATTTAAGACTTTCTTAAATTTATCTTTAAATGCTCAATAGCTAATAAAATAATTCGTAGAGCATCTGAAGATAAATTTAAAGAAGCCTTAAATATAAGGTCTGATTATAAATAAGGATAATACATATAATATTTTTAAAACTCATTTATACTTCACATTTATTGACGGCTTGTATATGATACATAAGCCATATGATACATATATATTTTCTTGCTAGAATACTTCTAATAAATTACTAAAATTGTACTACATAGAATACATAATTTTCAATAATTTACTAAATACAAGTAAGAAAATGCATTGCTGCTGATTTTATTTACGGTAATAAAATTTAGGGATTTTGATACTTAGGGCAGTGTTGCAAGATTCGTGAGACAAACTCACACATGCGCGTTAATAATAAACTTATTGCGAAAAATATTGCCTCGGCCGGGAGTCGAACCCGGATCTCTGCTCGCATTCCATGCGAGCGTCTTAAGCCTTTAGACCATCGAGACCTTAGCAATATATTCCTCGCAATAATCGATATGTATAGAGAGTTATGCATTGTAGGCAAGCGTATATAAACAATAAGATTGGAAACAAGAAATAACAGTTTTTTAAATTTAGGAAATTTGGGAGGATTATTAATATTTCAGATTGATTGCGTTAAAAGTCCGACAACCATATTGACACACAATTATCATTTCTAAAATTAATTCATTTATATGAATATGTATAATATTTCAACATCTTAATATTCAGACCATAGTAGCGCTTCCTATTCAAAGTAAAGATATTTAAATTGCATTTAAAAAAATAACACATAAGATAAAATCATTGCTATAACAAACATTAACATGTAATAGATATAAATATATATTTATTTTCACTCATTAAGAGCCTTTAGAAATTTAATAACTGTTTTTTTTTTTAATTTATAGATATTTAATGCTAACTATTCAATCATTGTAACAATTATTTATTATTTCTACTGTACTTTCCTGAAGATATTCAATAAATAGAACAGAAGATATTCAATAAACTATAATATATTTATTATCTTAATTATAATTAAGATTATTAGGTGTACAACTTTGCTTCCGCCGTTTTTTTCCGAAATTCGAGGCTTTATTGTAAAAAACTGGTTATACATTTATGATTCAAAGTATTGTCCATCGCTGGCCACTACTTTCTCCCATCTTTCGGGTAGCGTACGAATCCCGCGTCGAAAAAACTGGTCATCTTTTGAGGCTATCCACGAATCGATCCAATTTTTTACTTCTTCATAAGACCGGAAGTGCTGGTCAGTCAGGCCGTGTGCCATTGATCGAAACAAGTGATAGTCAGAGGGAGCAATGTCTGGAGAATACGGCGGGTGGGGTAGGACTTCCCATTTCAACGTTTCCAAGTATGTCTTGACCACTTTCGCAACATGGGGTCGAGCATTGTCATGCTGCAAAATCACTTTATCGTGTCTCTCGTTGTATTGCGGCCGTTTGTCTTTCAATGCTCGGCTCAAACACATCAATTGCGTTCGATACCGATCGCTTGTGATTGTTTCAGTCGGTTTTAACAATTCATAATACACTACACCGAGCTGGTCCCACCAAATACAGAGCATGACCTTGGACGTCAAAATCACCGTTCTTGAAGCGTTGAAACCACTCACGACACGTTCTTTCACTAATAACGGCCTCACCGTAAGTATTTGAGAGCATTCGATGAGTCTCAGCCGCAGATTTCTTCATATTGAAGAAAAAAATTAAAACCCTCCCGCAAATGACGAGAATTTGGCTCGTAAACTGACATTTTCAATCGAGAATAACTTTATGATGCAGACACAAATCGACTGTTTCTATGGGGTTATGTTGACAGATGCCCAAGTTTATTGTATGACGTCTATGATCTATTTCGACCACCACTTACCGCTAAAGTCATCTATAGGAAAACGGCGGAAGCAAAGTTGTACCTAATATAATTGTTAATTATAATTTTTATAATTAACAAATTAATCTCAAAGCCGTCTAAGATAATATAAGACTATTATATAATCTGAATAAAGTCGCATATTTATGATGTGATATTTTGCAAAATCTAAACACCTCATAAAACCAAAAAGTATTTAGGTTATATACAACAAAGATATCGAAAACATAGAGTTCAAGATTTATGAAATGTAAAAATCTCCTTATCCCTTTCATCTCACCTTATCATTATCTTTGTCGTATAAATTGATACAAGGAATTAATGAATTTTCACGGCGAGATCCTCCACAACCGACCGGACGTTCTTTGTAGCCTTTAACTTGAGCAATGAGCGATTTCCATTTTGCTAAATGAGTAAGTTCAGCGAACTTGTCGTTAGCTTTGGAGCTCCATTCGCTTTCTCTGAAAATAATATATTTTGTTGAAAAATAATTAATAACATCTATTAATTAGTGAGATATTTACCGTGGCTTTACGTTTGCCAACGAACACTCCACAGCCTGCAGGCGTAAGCTTAACATATCTGTACGAAGTTCTAATATATCATTTATGGGAACGATTTCTAAATCTCCATAATCTACAAAGAAGACTTTATATTCAGAAGAATCCATAACGGATATTACTTCTGCACGATACCATTTGTTATCATATTTAAATCTTGCTGCTACCATTTGGCCTACTGTTATCTAGAATCAACACATAACAGATAATTAACTAACATTAAATTACAGATATAATAAAATTAGTATTATTATGATCGATATATATATAAATAGTATAAATAAATGAAAGAAGAGTTAAAAGTAAAGAAATTAAAGAAATTAGATTAAAAATGTATAATTTATGGACTCCTTACAATTAATATAATAATAATATAATATATACATTAATATAATATATACATTAAGCAGGGCTTTAAGAGTCGGCGCCGAAAATATAATTTGCTCTTTGTGATTAATATAATCTCTTTGTAATTAATATAAAATTATATAAATCTAAATGTTTCACCTTATATTTGAACCATCCTCAGCAGAAATTCCTTAATATAAGTTCTTTGATAATTAATCAGTTAGACTAATGCAGATCTCCATCCATCCACATGTGGATTTTATCTTATGATTTGTATCGTGAACGTTGTATTTCTTGCAATGGATGTCGAAGATGTTAGATATAAATCGCCAATCAAAAGGGCGATTTAAAAATGAAAATGGATACTGAAAACTTAAACCACGTGTACATAGAAATACTCAACAAAATATAAATAACATGTAGGTGTTTTTTAATTTGATCGAAATGATCTTTCTTCGTTACCAGCTTGCGATACCATTTTAATGTCTGATCGTATATACATACGTTTAATGAATATGACACACATCGAATTTTAATTATGATTTTAATAATGTGATCATCGAATTAAATATCTTATCTATTTAATTATTAAATTTATTATATAAACATTCACGATATCATTGCATCCTGATAGCAAAGCCTGCAGAGACAGATTTTAAATAGAGCCTGTTATAAATTTTTGATTGCAGAAAAACATCAAATTGTATACAGAATTTGTATTATCTGACAAGTTTCTATCAAGGAATTAAACAGGATCAGAATGTAAGAACCAACTATAGTCGAGCATTCCCCTGTCGTTCGACTTCGGCAACAAGGGAATACTTGACTGTAGTTGGTTGGTTCTTACATCCTGATCTGATTTAAATCCTCGGTGGAAACTAGGTCATTGTCAGCAAATTGATAGAAATATAATAGAAATTAACAAAGCCTGCTAAACATGCTATGCCAGCAGATTGGTAGCAGAAACCGAGTAAAATCTTGCATAACCTGACGGCAGATTGAGAGCAGATTGAGAGCAGAATCTGATTCGAGCAGACTCTTTCACCAATTTGCTGGCATAAATCAACAGACTTTGTCGACAAAATGTGGATAGCTATTTTGTAGTCAAAATCTGATAGAGTTTGCTACCAATTTGGCCCCAAATTGCTAACATTTTGCTATCAGGATGCAATTGATACTGCTGTGAGGTGAATGACGGACAATATACGATATTTAATCTTCTTCAATTATTCTTCTGATTGGTTGCTATATAATAAAAATTTTAGCTTTTAAAATTTTAGCTAAGATTTTTCCAACACCACTAAACCATGCAATTGAATTGGACATTTAGGAATACTGAAGAGGACATACATCGCAGTGATATCTATTGCAAAAAAATATAACGCACATAATACAAATCATAAAATAATTTTGTGCTATAACAATAACGATACATATGCAGATTGAAAATTCAGATTATCAAAAAAATCTTGATTATCAAAAAAATTATATTAAGGAATTTTAAGATAACTCAAATGTGAACTGAAACGGTCGGATTTATATAATTGTATTACGACACGCTAATCGCAAAGCGCAAATTATATTTCGTATTATTCAATAATTTTCGTATTATTATTGTTGTTGTATTATAGTTAATATTATTATATTATTATTATTGTTATTGTTATTATTATATTATTGCTATTATTACTATTATTATTGTTATTATCATTATCATTATTATTATTATTATCATCTAATAAGGCTCATAAATTTTAGAAAAACAAAGAAAAAAAGAGGATTACGAGCGAAAAATTATTATATACAAATTATTATATAAAATAATAAGAACAAGTAGAATGTAAAAAAACAAAAAAGAAACGAAAATGTTTTAAGTTAAAATTATTA